TCTCCTACCATAACTGCCCAACATGTAAATTAGTACATATTTATATTGAATTGTGTTGGAATACTTGATGTTAGGAATTTCTATTTCAGTTACTAACTTGAACTGTATAAAAAAATTATTGAATGAATTCTGGCTCCGGATTAGGACAGAATTTCTGACAATTTTTTTTAAATGGCCCTAAATATACTTTTGCCATTATGTACTACATATTTATACAAAGCAGCATTTTCGGTGTTGATGATTGTAAGATCAAATTATCAATCAGCTCTGAAAAATGTTGATACTCTATGTTCTGCAATACCAATTATTTAGCTGAGATTTAATTATGTAAGTATAATGCACATCCATCTTAGTAGTATAAAGTTTGTTTTCATCTTTTATATGTAAAAGTATGTGTAACAAAGAAGTATTTTAAAACAATTTCTTAAGCCAAGTGTGGTGGTATGCACCTTTAATCCCTGCACTCAGAAGGCAGAGGCAGGTGGATCTCTGTTTGTTCAAGGCCAGCCTGGTCTACAGAGCAAGTTCAAAGACAGTCAGGACTACACAGAAAAAAACCTGTCTCAAAATACCAAAACAGAAATTTTTTTCTTTATTATTTATTTTCAGTAAGCGTTTGATTTGTATAGCTATTTTACATACCTATGTACCAGGGACATGGACAAAATGGGATTACCAATAGAAAAAATTTAGGAAGCCCTACTCTAATCCACTATGAAATAAAAGTTGACTTTGATTCTGAGAGAGGTTTATAATCTCCATTTGAAAGATATTCAGCTTTTTTATGTATGGCTTTAACAGTAATGTCAGCATCTTGGTGGGTATAGATAATACTTGGTTCAGTTTCTTTCAGCAATGCCAATGACAGCAAGCCTGCAGCTGTAGGTACTGACTTTCTTAAAGGCTGTCCTGTAAAAGCCCTCTCTACTCTCCCAGAATATAGAACATCACTTCGTCCTCTGAGGCTAGAATTATCAGATCAGTTCCTTAAATTAGAAAACTTTGAGAGTCACCAGGGGAGTATCTGGCCCATGCTAATGAAGCCATCCAGGTTCCCCTGTAATCAAGATGGTAATGGCTTGAAGTTCAGACTCTGACTTGAGTTTTTCCCTCGATTCTGCCAATTGCTGGCCAAGCTTTGCAGAAACTCGGTGGAGGCTGGTCACTTGAAACTCCATTACAGCCTCATTTAAAAAGTATTTTATTAGAATACATTTAAAGATTGACCAGAGAGTGGAGGCAATTGTTGGGAGTGGCATGATACTACTGCCTTATGTGGTGTATGTCACTTACCATAATCCACACCAAATTAATTATTCTCTGATTTATATTTTATGTGTCTTCTCCTCTCAACCACCCACAATATAAGACATGCAGAACTAAGTCAGTAAAGGGAGTTTAGCTTGTCTTTGTCAGTATCAACGGTGCTTAAAAAAATACCTAACACACAGTGGACTTGCATTGAGCGTTTCTGAAATCATTAATAAAGGCCAAGATCTCTCTGAAGATAACATGAGATATATATTAAAAATGGTCCTAATATTCAAAGCAATAAAATAATGTGTCTGAAGCTTCTGTATAATTAAACTGTCGTTTCTTTCAGAGAAAAGCATTTATGTTACTTTTATAATGAAACATATTTTATAAACTGGGAATATATTTAGTCGACTTTATTCTAAAAAATGAGAATATAATTAAATAGGTAAATAGTAAAGATCTGTTTTTCATTTCAATTTTGCAACAATTTTTACTCAAAAGCATAAATTATTTTATATGTCACTACACATCTAAGACCTAGTATAAATTATACATTGTGTATTGTTTGGCTGGAAATGACTTTGTATAACAACTAACCAAACCTGAAAAATTCATATGAAGCCTTGGATACAGTAATATAGGACCAGAGATGAAAAGGATCATCCAAAGTGTACAGATGGCAGAGACAAGGTGGCCTTAACCTTTAGAGAACTGATTCCTTGTCACATTGCCTTTTATTTTCCATTCAGTTCGGCTTCAAAGACCATCCTAGAAATATATTTTTTCTGGCCTGCCAGAGTAATTCCTATGAGATTGTGAGTTCACTCAACAGCTCTGAGAATACAGTCCTTCATATTTCATGAATTCTACCTCAGACCATAATCTGAAAATATGTGGTGTGCTTATGACTATGATTAGTATGCTGGAATATCACAGAATAGACATATGTAATGAAATAACTTCCTCAGAGTAAACACCTGAGAAGTGAAAACAAATTCTCCAAATACAATAAATGTCAGTGGATTCTGCTGCACTCATCCTCCACTGACCTGGCAGAGGTGTGAATCGTGCATGAAAAGAAGAAGCTTCTAGAATCTTGCTCAACGTGAAAAGCTACAAGGGCTGAAACTAGGCAGACTTTCTCTCCTAGCTCTACTGCAACTGCCCTCAAACACTACTATGCTATAGAGGAAGAAAATATACACCCCACAGGCACACTGAAGATCAGGTGAAGTGATGCTGGTAGAGTGTTGGGCCCATGGCGACGTTGGGTAAGTCACAGTTAAGGTGCTGGCTGGTAGGAGGCCAGTTCTTCAAAGCTGAGGAAAAGGCTCAGTCCCAGTGAATAAATAACACACTAAGACAAACAACAAATTATACATGGAAAGGGAAATAGTCCACACGTGGTTAACTGACCCACTTACCTGCTTCAAATTTACTGGAAGAGGAAGGAACATAGCTGACGGAAGGATGAGTAGCTCTCGTCACGTCTATGACACTCCTGATAGTATGAGTAGCTCTCATCATATCTATGACACTCCTGATAGCTAGTAATGTGCGCGAGCCTTGTGTGTGTGTGTGTGTGTGTGTGTGTGTGTGTGTGTGTGTGTGTGTGTGTGCGTATATGTGTAAATAATTCATATATACAATTTTCTTCAATAAAATAATTCTACTTTTGTTTATAAAACACAAATTAACATGTCATTGCTACAGAACAGGCTGGAACCTACCATGTCCTAGTGTGTTTTAAAAAAGAAATAATTTGTTACCGTATGTTTCCTACCTATCTATACCAATAACAAGTTTTTCAGAACGCATCTCACACCTGATCAAGAAGTGCAGTAAAGCCCAGAGGACTTAAATGACTTGCGGAAAGGTGCACAGACAATCTTTGGCAGAGTTAGGACTAACCCAAAGTTCTTTCCATGTTAATTGATCAAGGTTTTTCTTTAAAGGTGTTTTCTAATGTTTAAATTACATTAAACTTTTATCTCATGTGTGTTGATGTCATGATGCACATGTAGGGGTCAAAGGACACCTTACAAAGCTTGTTTCCTCCTCATTGCCAGTCCTGAGGACTGAACTCAGGTCATCAGGCACAGTGGTACTTGCCCTCTCAGCCATCTTGCTGGCCCTCGATCAAGATCTTAATGCTCCATATGTCTGTTCTTTGGGGCTGGTTAGATATTTCAGCTGTGCCACTGAAACCTAAGGATTCCATAATATCTCTTTTTTTCTCATGTTCATGAAATGCCTATTAATACCTAATGTGATATGGACCTCTGGAAAATATATCTGCAATTTTATTCAATGCATATTTATTGAGTGCCAAGTGGGCTTTTGGTGTAATAAAAAAATACTAGCTTTCATGTCTATTAGGAAAAATAAGCATAGATTGAGATTATATTAAAAGATTCACTTTAAAAGATAAAATTTTGAATAAGGAAAGGAGCAGAAGGACAATCTGGCAAGAAAGTATGCTACGAGGAACGTGTGGAGAGACATGAAAATCATGAGTTGATATATTTTAACTCACTGTCATTAGCAACTGTCACTTAATGAGGGACTGAGAACTGAGGGCCACTTCCAAACATGCCCAGTCATGTCAGTGAAATGGCTGTCAGCTCTTTTATCTTCCTGTAGAGCTTCTGTATCAATTACACAATGTCATATTCAGCCATCAGGACAGCCAGTTCCAGATCTGAACAAGCATGGATGAAAGGCAGATCTTTCTATTACCCTAGGAACTACACCTGCCAAAACTGTGATTTTTTCCCCTAAATATCCATTTTTCTCTATGTAATAGTATTTTTCCTGATGCACTGTCTTTTATAATATTTGAATTTTTATTTGCTCTGTTCTATGAAAATGCAACTATATTCAACAAGCTTTCACCTATCTGTACATACTGAGTGTTGCACATAATGAAGGTCACGTATGAACATCAAGGTAACAAATTCCTTGTGTTTATTCTTCTTTATAAGCTTGAATGTGAGTTATTAAGGCTTCTTGTTTTAAAAAATTGTCATTTTTGTTATTGTCTACAGTTACCAAGAGTATATATTTGCACACGCTATTCACTGCCTTCACAATATGGGCAGTGTCACCGTCCATAAAATATTTCCTTTCCTGCCTAAGAGAGAAGTGCTTCTGCCGGAATAAAGCCAGAAAGTGAAGTCTCCAATGCTGTCCTTGAAGTGCTGGTCCAGTGCTGACCAAGTTTGGATCTGGAATGCCTCCCACATCCCATGTTGTACAGTTGTCAGCTGTGAAATTCCCGGGAGGGGGTGGCATCTTTAAGGAGGTGGGGGCCCAAAGAAAGGAAGTTAAGTCACTGAGAACACAGCACCACAGGACCAAGGCCCCACCTTGTCTCTCACTTCACATCCTCACTGCCTTGAAGTGATCAGGCTGCTGCTACCACACAATCCCAGTGTTATGTATTCAGCCACCACAGGCCCGGTGCAACAGGGCCAGGTGACTGTGTACTGAAAACTGGAACGGTGAACCAAAATAAGCATTCTGTCCCTTTGAGTTCATTGTCTCAGTTGTCTCCTCTCAGCAGCCAGCTGACTAACCCAAAGCTGCACAGGGACAGAGTGGAGGTCTGCTTGGTTCGTCGTATGGGTGGTTTGGTTGGGTTTCAGTTCCCCCAAGAGCCCATCAATGGGGAAAAGTTTGTGAAAAGCTGAGACTATTCTCAGACAGCGTTCCGCATCTCATTAGATCTGGTGAACACTTACTTTCAATTGCCTTGATTTTGTTTTCCCATGGGACACAAGCAGCTTTGAAGTTCTCAAAGTCTCGGAGGAATTTTGCCCATTTCTGAAAACAAAGCCAAACACTAGTAAGGTACTGTCTCCTGTGTTTCTGGATGTTTATTCTCCCGTTTTTTTCCCAAATCACAAGACAATGGCTTTGAGGGAGCTCTCTAGCCCCTAATACTGCTGTGTGTATGAAGGAAAACCAGCAGGACTCCCTTCCTTCTCTATTTCTCAGCACTCCCACAAATTTAACTTAATTTTAAAAAGTGTTAGATAGGCTTACAACCTCAGTTATCTGGGAGACTGACACACAAGGAGAGCAAGGACAAGGGCAGCCTGAGCAACACAGGCATACACCAGTTCAAAAGCAAACAGAACACACACACACACACACACACACACACACACACACACACACACAGACTGTTTTAGAGGAAATATACTGACCACTCGGAAACACCTGTCTATTCTACTAGACAACAGTAAAATAGGAATCTCATTATTAGGTGACTGATATAAATTCTGCATTGGATATTCAGTGCATGAGGAACCAATGGACTTATGAATAAGATTCTGTATCTTCCTTGAAAGACCTCTAGTCTGGTAAAGTAGATTGTGAGAACACAGGTCATTTTAATTCATGATTTTCCCTTATATGGGACACTTCATTTTGATAAAAGAGAATAGTCAACTGAATAGAAAGAGATGGTAGCACAGAAAAATGATGAATTCATCTTTCAAAAGGCCTTCCTTCTACTTTACTCCACAGTGTCGGGTTAGCCATGGTCAAGAGGACTGAGGAGGGGTGGGAATGAGGCAGTTAACCTTCCATGTGTCTTCCTTATGACAGGACAATGGGAGAGCTAAGTAGACACAACAGTCTAAATCTGAAGTCAAAAGATTACTCAAAACTAGAAAGGGTGCCTGCAGTAGAATATGTGAATATGTAAATTGTGACATCTTCCTACAATACATAATGCAATACTAGTAAACAGGAGCTGTAACCACCCCCCAACAGCAACAGAATTGTATCTGATGACCCCAATCATGTAATAAAGAAGTCAGAAACAAAGCTCAGTCACACACAGTATGACTGAATGCATATAAAAGATAAAAGGCAAGTAAAGCTAACTACTTGCATGTGTGCATTTAGAATGAAGATCTTCACACTTTCTTTGCAAACCTCTGTTTCCATAGCATACACCTAGCTACAGTTTTTACAGCATAAAACCTATGGACCTACTTCACTGTGAGAAACATAACTTGATAGAGAGGTTCGGTATTGTGTGTGGTCCACAGTAAGTGCATATAAAAGTGTTACTTTTCTATATTTCTCTAAAATCTGCATTTGTATGAATCTATCATATTTTTGTTATCTTTGTTGCAGTGTCTAGTTGATGTTTTTAATTCAAAAAGAAAAGGGGTTGGGGAGTAAATGCTTATGACCCTTTAATTTATAGACATTTGGGAAAAGAAGCCTTGACCAGAACCCCTGAAACCTTCAGAAAATGAAAATGGAATGGGTGCACAGTCTTTTACATCTGGAAGTGGTAAAATCAAGTTAGTCTCTTGGTATAAATAAGTGTTTGCAACTATTGAAAAATTTTTCAGTCTCTCTTAAAGGGTAATCTTCAAACCCACCCAAAATTTTAATACAACAGATACACCACACATACACTGTATGAGTCTTTGCTGTATGCATGCACACAGTTAACGTTGGTTTCACCCCCTCAGAACAGACAGTGTTCTCTCTCTCAGGGTCACTGTGACACTGACCAGACTGTATTATGAAAATGCTTACCTTGGCCATCATCATCTTAAATGCAAACCACTTCTTTCCTTTTCCTTTCCCAAGAGCCCCTTCATTTTCACTCACAAATTTCTTGGCTTCCCTGAGGAAAGAGAATAAGAGGTAGGCAGACATATGTTGACGTACCGGTAGGAGACATTTACTTTGGTTAGATCTATCTTTTTTCTTCTAGACTCTCCATACCCTCAGCAACTGAACCAAAGTTGTAGTTTATAACCTAGAGACTTAACGGTTTTTTAACACAAATGTTGAGTACATTGAACATATTTCCCTGTTCCCTCTGTCCCAGCTTTGCACCCATCCTTGTGTATACCCTCTCTGCATACCTACACGTGTCACTTTTGCTTTCAAATATGCATACCTAATTTTAGCTATCTTTGTAAAAACCTATATCCCAGAGGCATTTAGTGCATATTTTTTCAACTCTGGCCAGGAAAAGTAGGATATATTCAGTCTCACTTATTAATCACCTAGAGTCATTGAGAAGTGAGGGATTTGTGCCAAATGTGAAGATAGAGAAACATTCCTTCTCATTCCCAACATATATAAAATTTAACCTGAAGTTTATGTCAGGTTCTGGCAACCAGAATTTTTATTTTGAGGTTATTTTTTTAAAAAAAAAAATAATTTCCTTTTTAAAAAAGAAAGAAAGAAAAAGAAAATAAAGAGTTGAGGACAAACTGACCTGGTATTTAATTTCATGACAGCAGTTATGGCTTAAAAGCACAAAAGCCACACTCCAAAACAGATGGAGTTGAAGAAGAGGATGAAAGGGACGAATGTGGGTTTCAAATTCAGGAAGGGATTTAAACTTAAACTTCAACATGACTCCCAGATAGTAATATATTTTTAGTGCTCACATTAGGGTCCATTAAGAAGCACACTAATTTATCAAAAAAAAGTATAATGGGACCATGCTAAGTACATGTGTTTTTTATTATTGTTGTTGGATACTGAATGTTTGCCCCTCCCCATTCCAACCTGTGAGTATAAATCTGGTGTGACACCACAGGGAATGGTCACTTCAGGAGCTACAGTCCTGCACTGCTGAACAACAAGGTTGGGTTCTATCGGGGACACATTTTGTGTTTGTCCAAATGTCATCAAGTGAATACAAACCCATATGCTGAAAATGCCACAAGGCAATGTCATTTTATGGGATACCACGATGTCTGAAGACATCAACTGAAATATCACACAGAAAATAACTAATTAGGCTTTGAAAGGAGAACCTTAGACGGTAGAAGGGATTGCTGTCTGACCGTCAGAATTAGCTAACCTCTGTCCACCATCGGAGGATGGGAGAAGTTAGTAAGAACACAACCAGTAGCTATCTGCAACTATGGATATCCAGCAAACAGAACAATGAGAAATAAATGCTTGCAGCTTTTGCTACCCAGTCTAAATTGTTCTATCAGCCCTACCTGGCTAACTTCGTCATTTTGTCATTGTCCATTCAATGAAAAGAACTTTAAAATTTTAGAACATGTGACCTAGTGAGAGGGACAATTCAAGCAGATTGGGGTTCTGCAGGTGTAATGCAATGGTCGGTTGGGTGGCCCCTAAAACTGTGGTTTGCAGATGAGACCCTTCACACTTGACTATGAACTTACTACAACATGGAGTAAGTCTTTTAAGATGAAAGTTAGAGAAGGATTTTTATATAAGATGTCCCTTAGTAGCCATGCTAAGCATAGATTCTTATAAAACATAGTGATCAAAACTACCAAATACCAACTACCTGATCTGAGATGGGAATGGACCTTCCTTACACACCTGTGGGCAAGTACCCACCTATAATCTAGCATACAAACACAAGCACCATTGTGAAGTCTCTTCAGTCAACAATCAACTCCCAAGGACATTCCTGAAGAGCAGGCCACCCCGACCCCTACCCCATGGTCTTGATCTTGATAATGGAAGGTGCTCAATAAAATGTTACAAAGCTGACTGCAAAATTGTATCTAATGATTGCATTTCCCATACTCACAAATGTTAAGGATACTTATTTCCAGGTCTTAGATTGTGCTCTTCATAATTATTTTTCTCTGAGATTTAACTGGCAATATCCTAGAAATGGAATAGAGGTTTGGGCTAGCTTTATCAAATACTCTGATATTTGGCATGACCTCTGGGTTTGGATGGCTGATTGAAAAATAATTTCTAGAGCATTTGAAACATCTTAAAATATTTAATAAAAGAGTATAAAATATTATAAACTGAGATCTCATGACTCACTCTCAGACTCATGCAACAAAGATAGCATCATATTCAAATACCATTTGTTGTACAAATTTTAAGACTAAAAAATGGCAGTAGCCAGCATACACTTTGTAAAATGCTGAACCAAAGGCTCTAAAATACAGACAAGATCCCTCTAGTCCTAAGCAGCCTCTTAGGTCTGACTGACCTGACTCCACAACCTTGTCCGTGCTTATGATGGATTCTGTGCCCAGGCTCATGAGCCCTGCTTTCAGATATAAATGCATCTCCTCAGGACTTCCACTTGACTGCTCAGGGTCTGGCACAAGGTCCCTGTTACTATGGAGCTTTTAACAGGTCAGGGTTTCCCACCCAACAATATCTCAACAATCCCTTCACTCCTAGAGATACAGATGTTGGAAGTATTGAAGCCAATTCTATCATAATGCTTATTTCTAAACAGTGATATTTGTTCTAACGTGATTGATATACCATGGACTGACTTGAACAAAACACGAATTTTGGCCTTGCTTGTTTATAATTTTATTCATGAAAAACACTGGGTGAGTATAAGAAAGCATATTCATTAATGCCAAGAAGCATGGCAAATACCCAGAATGCACACAGCACGTCTCATTGCCTCTCTTGCCAATACTAGAAAAGTCACACCCACTCAGGGTCAAGGTGACCCTCCCCTCACACTGCACAACTCCCAAGCAGCAACCATTTTAAAAATCATTTCCATAGCAAGTCTGAAGTCCTTCTCAAAGGATCCTGCCATGTGTAATGCAGCATTCATGTATTTCTTAACCATTAAACTGTGTTGAATGCTAATGACATTTTTCTCAAATTTTATTTATTTATTTTTTGAATGTGTCACCAGAAATGTATCTGAATAATTGTGTTCCATCTATGGGTTCCCTATAAAACTCATGGTGTTTATTGTTCAAGTCCATATACTGCAGTGAGCTTTTTGGAGAACTGATCTCTTGTATTTCAGCAGAACTGACTATTATTCAATTATTTGGCATCAAGAATTTCTGAATCTAAAACACCAAATACATGTAGGAATCATACTACTGTGTATTATAATAAACACATATAGAGAATAAAAAATTCTGGGTAGTAAAATCAGAATTTGTAACAAAACAACCACTTTATAGGCATACTGTACTGCCAATTATATTGGTAAACCACCCTGTGCTGTTTAAACTTGTTGAAATGGAACTTTGGAAGCAAGGAGGCCCTTCCTTATCTCCTCCAAAACCTCTTGTCCTAGTCCTAGGACTGGCCCCCGACTCTATAATGGGGGAAAAAAACAAACAAAACCCACCAAGAGTGAAGGGCATTAAAACATTGCATCCTCAGGAACAACTAAAAGGTTAACTTTCTAACAGAGATTTTGTTTATCTCTATGGTGAAAACGCCTTCTGTGGGAAAAGGAAGCCCAGATCTCATCCATGGAGAGATAGTTCAATCTGGAACTCTACCCGATTTCTTCCGCTTCCCTGGTAGATTCCTGCTGGATGTCTTTAAGCCCCTAAGTTGATGATGTTACCTTGGTGTCCTCTCCATCAGGCTGCTCTAGTCTTCTCTGCTGGGTGTTGCCTGGCTGTCTTTTGCTTCTCCCTGCTACTATTGGTTCATTTACTTTTGCATTCTGAGTGCTTAAACTCACTCATTTGGAACCAAAAGTTCAGCTATCACAGATCATTCTCTGAGCTATAAAGAACATAAAGTCAACACTGTAGGTACTTCATATTTATTATGAACCACATTCTGTTTACCCTGTATTTAGAACACTCTCTACATGAATGGACCATTAGAAAGCATGTGTTTGTATCTGAGCATTTAGAAATATAAGAAATAGCTAATCTACTCTCTATTTGAGCCAAGGTTTTTGATTGTGTGAGCAGATAATTATGCTAATTTTATAAATTGATGAACATTAAATCAGTAAAACTTAAGAGAGAAGGAAGTCAGTATTACAACCAAATTATAATCATCACAAAATTAATTCCAAATTCATTTAATAATATGGAACCATATTTGTGTGACATTAATAAAGATTTTTATTAGTTATTAAAGATACATTTTTGTTCAAATATTAGAAAGTTTTTTATTGCTTCTTTTATTAGTTACTGGTAGTTTTATTGACCCCAAGTATATTATTAAGTTTGTCTTTCAGTAGCCATCTGTGGTTCTTTGAATGGGAAATGTCCCCGAAGCTCAAGGATTTAAGGACTTGGTCCATAGCTGGTGGTGCTGTTTGGTGAGATTGTGGAACCTTTGGAAGGTGTACCCTTAGTGCAGGAAGTCTGACACTGGGGGAAGGCTCTGAGGTTTTTATAGCCTGGCCCAACTTCCTGTTTCTCTGTTTTCTGTGTGTAGATGAAGATGCGATCAGCCAGTTTCCTGTTCCTGCTATCATACTTTCCCTGTCTGTTGCCATGACTTCCCCAGAATGATGTGCTCTGCTCCTCTGGAACCAGAAGTCAAAATAAATCCTTTCTTCTTTCAGTAGCTTTTTCCAGGATATTGTATCATCACAAAGGAAGAGTAACTGGCACAGACACTGTCCTCCTCAACTCTTAATATCTATATCCTGTCTGGTTTTCAGAGAAAGTCCAGACCACTGGGCATCACATAATCTAACCTGAGTTCCTCTTTTTCCTAATGCCCTACTCCCGCTCTGTTCTCTAACACACACACACGCACACACACACCACAAGAACAGAAAAGATCCCAGAACAGCCACCTCTGCTACCCTCTAGCTCCTAATGGGCAACATAGCTGTTAGACATAATTTATCAGAAATCTTGGGAGTGTTTTTACAATAGAGCCAGAAGCCAAAGAGTGAGCTGAGAATAACTGCTTATA